AAGGGTGTTGGTATAAATTATAAGGGTGTTGGTATTAAATTATAAGGGTGTTGGTATTAACATATGTAGGCGCACAAAAATTACGCCTACAGTCAAAAAAAAGATGTAGGTGCATTTTTGTGACGCCTACACAATGTAGGCGCTTCAAATTTAGGCCTACATTTCATTTTTAGAATGTAGGCGTACACAAATGATGCCTACATTGGTTTTTTAGCCTGTAGGTGTCATGTGAAAAAGGAAAAAGCGCCTACATCATAAATGTAGGCGCTTTTTTGTGGGAAACCTTCATGTAGGGGCTGTTTTGGCAGCGCCTACATGGATTTTGTGTGGGCTGCAAATAGCAATGGCCTATTTTACCCAATTGCCATTATTTTTCAGGTTGACTGAAGGTTTGTGTGAGGTTTCACCTTCATTCCTCATCATGACAGCTGCCTCAGTGGGTGGTTTTTGACTTTTCAATCCAAGGCTTTGCCCAGAAAGGGCAGCCTTGGAGTTTCCCCAATAAATTTTGGCCACAATCAAGCACAGCACAGTTGCAACTCCAATTAAGGAGAGCAAGAGCATTGTGAACCTTTTATGTCCAATTGTTCTCTCCATGTTCTTACACTGTGAGGAAAGTGGATTTCTCCAAGGCGAGAAATGATTGCATTTAATGCACAAAATGATTAATAATGCAGAATTAATGCAGAAAAATGCAGAATTAATGCAGAATTAATGCAGATTTAATGCATCTTTAATCATTTTGTAGACTAAATGTAATCATTTCTCACCTTGGGGAAATCCTCTTTTCTCGCAGTGTTACTTGTATCATCTTCAATTGATTTGTGCATTAAGCTATGTTGTGGGTGCCTTATGAATCTTTTTGTTGATATTGAAAGAAGTTGTTTGGGATACTTGGTGGAAAGTTAGTTAGGATGAGTCTGGGATGTGATTTGTGTTCTTTAATTATGTCTTCACAATTAAGTGGATCAAAGGAGAAATTGGCATTTGTCTATGTTTGTTTTTTGAATAGGATATGGTCCATCATCATTGCTGGTTCAATTTGTATCTTATATCATGATCCTGCTGCTGCATACCTAAGAGCAGATGGGTTTATCTTACATTGGATTGGGCTTGATGTTGTTATATTGCAATACTTGATTTGATTCTTTCCACTCATTTGGCGGGGTTGATCAATTCTATTCTGAGATTGCAGATTTCTTGACAACAACCTCAGTGGAAGAAGCTTTATGCTACTTGAGCCAGACTGTTGTTTTAGTTATGCAGAGTCACCAAGTCTATACACACATTTGCAGTGACTGATTTGTGAGTGTGGTCATGTGTGGACCACATGAATCCCCGGGTACCAAATATTGCCTTAATGTGGCTGGGGTGAGATATTATGTGTCCCATTAATTTCTGAAATAGAGACTTCAATCATGAGATCTACAACACATATAACTTACAAATATCAAGTGCTCTTTGACTATAAACACACAATCAGCTCTTGGCATACATATTCAGCTGAATTATTGATTAAAGTCTATGTAACAAGGAACTGATAGCAGGTACCTTGAACTTAGATTTGCACATGATCAGATAATCCGCCAGTAAAGCAAGCGCAAAAGGATTATATGCAACAAAAAACACCTTTAGTGTAAATTGATCTTCAACACACAATCCAATTAAATTGATCACCTTCAGCCTTAATGGTGGAAATGTCAGACAGCCAATCCGCAAAATTCAAACCACATCTTGGCCACCATGCTGAACCACATCTTGGCCACCTTTAAGGACCCCAGCTTGGCCACCATA